AGGAAACAGGTCATGGTGGCATGTATTTGGAGGATATATATTGTCCCTGCTCCTTCTCGGCTCTCTCTCTCTCTCTCTCTCTCTCTCTCTCTGCTTTCTGGCTGCCATGAGGCGAGCAGCCTTCCTCCTCCATGCCCTTCTTTCATGATGTTCTGCCTTAATCCAAGTCCACAGCAATGAAACCATGGACTGAAACTTCTGGAAACATGAGCCAAAATAAATCTTTCCTCCCTAAAATTGTTTTTCTCAGGTATTCTGTTATAGTAATGAAAAACTGAGTAGCACAGGAAGAGAAAGCCTGAAGGAACCAGTGGCTTCTCAGCTGGCCCAAGACCAGGAAGAAGGCATAGGCAGCTGTGTCCTTTGGCTAGGATCACACTAATGTGGCCTGTTGTTCCAGAGAGATAGTCTGCCAGTCTGTGAGCCCAGGTACCTGGGCTCTCAAATCAGTTCTGGGTTCCAGTTGCTCTGTGGTATGGACCATTCATGTCAGTGAACTTGTCACCTTGTCCTTTCCAAAGCTGTCCTCTCACCGACTCCTTATCTTAGAATCTGGTACCACAATTCCATCTGGTGGATGTACCAGATGGAACCTGTAACCCAGGAGTTATCTTGATTGATGACCTCTCTCCAGGACTCTAACTGACATCCTAGGCCAGAGGCCCAACTCCAGGAGTTCCAGGTTTGGCCACTCACCCCAATATGAAAATTAAAGACGGGTATTTTTGTGTGCTGGCAGCAAGAGGGAGAGTAGGCATTTTTGCCTATCTTCTGGTACTGACATTAGCTATAGGTTTAAATAGAAATGAATTGTGATGTGGGCAAGAGGTGTTTAGAGTTAAGCAGTCTCATAAAAGGTGTGGTCTGGTTGATCATGTACTCAGGATTGGTCGGGAGGGCCTTGTCACAATAAGAAAGTCATTGCTGCCTGGGGGCAGAGGTGGGGGTGGAGGTAAATTGAACTCTGTCATAAGATGCTTATCCATTAGTCCTGTCTTCCTGGAACCCAAGGTGACTGTGGGAGAGAGGGAGAGACGGGCTTAGAAGAAAGGAGACAGGTGTAAAATGGAGGCAGAGATGCTATGCTTGAGTTTTCTCCTGCTTTTAGTTACCTTGGGGGCCCAAGTGTGGGGTCAGTGCTTCTTTTTAGAAGCACTAAAAAGCCATTTCTAAGAACCTGCTGTAACGTCACAGCTCATCTCCCCCTAACCTTCCTCAGTCTCATCTGCTTCTTCCCATCCTTGCCACCATTATTCTAACCCAACACCCTCAGTTCTTGGGGGGACCAGGGTAATCCTTCCAGTCTTGGCTGAGGTCCAAGAGTCTTCTTAAATGTGCTCAGCAATTTCTGTGAGGAAGACCACTGGATATTGTAACAATATTAATTCTTCCAGCCCATGATAAATGAGATATCTTTCCATTGATATGTTAAACAATTCTAAAATTCACGTGGCACAAAAGACCTTGAATAGCCAAAGAAATTCTGAGGGGAAAGGAGTTGGAGGTGTCACACTTTCTGACTTGAAATTCTATCACAAAGCTGCAATAATCAAAACAGTACAGTAATGATATCAAAATGTCACATATGCCAGTGAACAGAGCACAGCAGTGAACTCAGAAATAAGACCAAACACGTATAGTCAGTTAATTTGTAACAAGGCACAAAAAAGACACAATAGGAAAAGGATTTTCTCTTCGATAAATATAACTGGAAGAACCGGATATCCACATCGAAAGAGGGAAATTGGACTCTTACATCATACATGAAAATCAACTTGAAATAAAAGACCACATGTAAGACTTGAAATCATAAAAGTCGTAGAAGGAAACATAGGGTCAGTGCTCTTGACATTGGCCTTGGATAGCACACCAAAAGCTCAGTTTACTGACGCCAAAACAAACAAATGGGATGACATCAGACTAAGCACTGGGCCATGGTGAAGGAAGTACTCAACAAAGTGAAATGGCGGCCTATGGATGGGGATGAAACATTTGCAAACCACATGCCTGATAATTCCCTCGGCCTCGGGTCTTTCTCCCTTCTCTGTTCTCTCTGGTTTCTCCAGCGATCAGCCTCCCCAGTCACCTGGTGACTACTGGCTCATTGTCTTCCTGTGATCTCCACAAGGCCAAGCCTATGCTGCCTACCCCTTTACGCCATCCATGGAAGCTGGCCTAACACCCATCACATAGTCAGAGCCCTCTACACACTTGAATGAGAGCATAAGCTTGACACACGATGTACAGGAGGGACAAGATGCAGAAGGAAATGGAAGGCACAGAGCAGGAGAGGCCCATGTACACTGTGTTCTTAGGACACACTGAACAGACAATTTGCCAGCCATGGTTTCCCAGAAGAAATCATGCTTGAGCAGAGCTTGGGGACTGGAATATGTCACTGTGCTTGCTACCAAGGAGGACATGGGCTCAGAGAGGAAGGGAACACAGCTCTTACTGTCTGTAGCATCATAAAGATGCGAGCTGTACCCGGTATTCTCAAAGCTGCAGCTTCAGTTTCCAACTCAGTGTTGCAAGAATGAATGATGAAGATGGAGGTTCAAGAAGGACCTGGGAACCCAAGTAGAAGAAGGGACCTGACGTTGACTTCCAAAAGAAGGGTTTGATAAGTGAGGAATTCGGCAATGATCCCTAAAGAGAAAAGCCTTGCCCTCAGCAAGACAGGTACTTACTTTTTTATCCCTGGAAGACTGCAGAACTATTTGTTGACTTTAATACCCTTTTTTTTTTATGTTTAAACAACTGAGAGTGTAATTGTTTGGGTTTCATTGTCACCTACAGAATGTTCATTTTGGAATTTTAAAATATCTTTAAAAACAAAAAGCATCAGAGCTCTTTAATGTGTGTTCTCACTTTGGCTGGGGGACTAGTCCAACATGCTCACACTAATTAAAGAGACCATCAGGCATGTGACAACTGCAAGTGTAAAGTGGGAGTCGTTTCTGCTTTCGCAAAGGAACAAAACAAAAGCACAGCCATAATAACTCAATAAAGGGAAATCAGAAGCAGAAGTGTCTGAGGTGGCCTGGAATGGCTGAAATATTGAAAGTCATACACAATGTGTCACCGAAAGGTACATTTAAAAATGGTCAGAATTGTAACTTATGTGTGCTTTATCACAATAAAAATGATCAAGACATTCAAAATTAAAAACACTATGACACGTGTCAACCAGTTACATTGAGGCACCATGCTTGATCTCTGAGTGTGCAGAACCTTCCGTGGGGTGAGACAGGAGACAGCTTTCCAGTTAGTGAGGCTCTGACAGTGGCATAATTAGGGCCCACGGTGGAGTCAGCCCTTCTTTCCAAGTCTGCATTCCCAGAGAACCCAGCCATGTAAGATACCCGGCATGTGGGTTTAGAAGCTGAGACATGAGTTCCAGTCTCCGCTCCAGTAAGTTTTATCCTTGGGTCCTGCACCTCCCTCTCCTATCTGTTTCCAGACTATAGGAGGAGCTGCCCAGGAGCTGTTGGTGGTGGATACTATTCAAGCATCCAGAAGAGTCTAAGGCACACAGTGGTTACTCCACTATCACCAGTGGTTTCCTATCTTCCTCTGTGTCCCCAAGAGGAATCCTGAACCCTCTCCTTCCTTCATTCTCATCCATCATCAGGAAACAGTTCTGAGGACTCTGTTTCCTCCATGGTCTTTTTTTTTTTTTTTTGGAAATACTGGGGTTTGAACTCAGGGCTGCCCACTTGCTAGGCAGGTGCTGTACCATTTGAGCCTTTCCTCCAGCTCTTTTTTTTCTTTAGTTATTTGTCAGATAGGGTTTTGTGATTTTGCCTGAGGCCAGTCTTCCACTACAATCCTCCAACCTATGCCTCCCATGTAGCTGGGACCCTGACAGATGTGTGCCACTGTGCCTGGCTCATTTGTTGAGATGGGGTCTCACTGACTTTTTCCTCTGGGCTTGCTTCAATGCTCCTAGTTTCTGCCTACCAAGGAGCTGGGATTATAGGTGTGAATTATTGTACTCAGATTCCTCCCCAGTCTTAACCCACCTGCTGCTCTGATTCATATCCCTGGCCACTGCCTCTGGCCAGCCTTACCCTGCTGGTACCACATACACCAGCAGCCATGGCCTCCTATTGTGTTTCTCTCCTCCCTTTTACCCTTCCCACTCCAGTCTGTCCTCCCCCGCTCCCCACCTCCTCGAACCCCTTCTAACATGGATCCGACTGTATCATTCCAATGTCTGGTTTCACTTGAGCAACTTATTCTCCCAGATTAAAGTCTGCTGGGCTCAGAGAACAGGTGCCTCACTCCTCACTCCCCTAGGCCCCCAAGCCCTCCCTGTTCCAGTCAGAGGGTTCTGCCTTGTCTTTGGGGCTCAGTGTTCCCTTTTTCTAGGGCCTCTTCCCTTCCAACCCCCATCGTCACCTGCCTGATTCCTGCTCATCCTAGACTTCAGTTTGGAGGCCTCCTTGTCTGGGATGCCTCATTGATTCTACCCACCTCCTCCATCTGGATGAGCAATCCTCTTTGGCAAGGCCACACAGCAAGTGCATTGTTGAGCAATAGCAAGCCAAACCAGAAGATTGTGTAATTATTTATTTACGGAAAAAAAAAAAAACTCAAGAGTGAGGTATTTAGCTAACATCTTGCAAAGATGCTCAAATATATATTCAAGTTGTAGAACAGTGTGTATGTCATGATTCCTTGGGGAAAAAAATCACCATCTATATATGTTTGTTTGGTTTTAAAAGCAGAGGACAAAGCCTAAAGGAATACAAATTGAGCTGTTAATGTCATTGAGTAGGCAGATTTGAACACTCTGTAAAGCTTGGATATGTTATATATTCTTTACATCCTAAACACATGAAAGGAACTTACAACTCTCGTTCACTAAAAATAAAAGACTTGAACCCTCATGAAACACAATACATAGGGACAGCTTTGGAGGAAGGTGCTCCTCCAAGGTGGTGACAGTGACAGTGAAAGGACAGCAAGCAAGATGGCCAGGAGGCCACACTTACCTTTCCCAGCAGCTCAGGCAGGCCCAGAAGCTGCCCAGAAAACACACCAATGCAGATGAAGATGGCAGTCACCTGGCCCATAGAGCCCCGGATCTCCTTGGGTGAGATCTCGTTGAGGTACATGGGGAGCACACTGAGGGCGATGCCTGAGGAGGAAGCATGCAGCAGTGAGAGAGCGATCTTCCCTGAGCTCCCCCCACCTCCATTGGCTCTGCTCTGCTCTGCTCTTGACAATAAATGGAGTAGGACTGCAGTACTGTACCTAGCATGCTGCACAAATTCTTAGGGCTTCACATAGGCCTTATCACTTAACCATAAAGTGTGGCTGGAGGGACATTTCTTGGAAGAGGATACAGCTAATGGAAGTGGCAATGGTGGTGGTGATGATATGGTGGTTATGATGGTGGTGGCAATAATGGTAAGAGTGGGAGTGGTGATGGTGGTGGTAGTGGTCATAATGATGGAAGTGGTGAGATCATGATGGTGGTGGAGGTGGTGGTGGTGGCAGTGACGGTGGTGATGGTGATCATGGTGGTGGTGGTGGTGATGGTGGTTATGATGATTGGGAGGTGATGGCAGTGGTGGTGGTGGTGGTAGTGGTGGTGATGATAACCAACACACATTGCGCTTAGCAATGAGCATGGGTCCTACTCATCTCTTTACATATATTAATGTATTTCTTTTTCATAATACCCTTCAGAAGTAAATGTACTATTACCATCTCCATCTAAGTATGAGGAAACAGAGGCTCAGAGAGGTTGAATAATTTGTCTAAACCACCAAGATGTTCAAAGACACCCAAAGAGGTTATTTTTCACAATACAGCCCCAGTAGGTCCCTGATCCTAGAGCTTTTCCCACCAGCTAACATGGCCTCTTTACATAAGCTATGGGACTCGGTTATGGCAGATACAGTTAGACTCATTTTATAGAATGGGTCATCCCTATATGACGTATTACCTGTGAGCTCAATTTACAGGTTTAGAGCCTTAAGAAAGAGTTATGTAAAGTTTTACAAAATACTGTGCATAATTCTTAATAAAAAGTAGTATAAGCTTTGCCAGTTTCAAGAAGTCTGTGTCCCCTTGTACCTGGCAGGGTTATTCTGATGGCCATTGTGGGGCTGTATGTAGCAGCCATGCTCCCTCCCAGGCAGATCCCTGGCTTGATCAGAGCATACACCATTCACATGGGAGCCACACGGCCTCCTGGGTGGAGATCATGGTGCTTACAAAGCTGTGGGATCTGGGTGGGGCTGGTAGCTTCTCTCAGCCTCTGTTTCTCTATCCATGAGATGGGGATGAACTTGAACCCAATTTCATGGGATTTCTGTGGGAGTCATGATATGCCTAGTACCTCCTCACTTCACTACAAAATGCTGTCTAAATTGGGATTATTAACACTTATTGAGGTGGATAAGAGGGATCCAACACTCTCTAAGTGTATTTGGCTAGAGGTTAATCTCTATAAGGACTGTTCAATGTTCATTCTATTATAGGTCTTTATTGTAAGCACCCCCTAATGCTAAGCTGTTAGGAGCAGGTCATTGGGCCCTTGAATGACAGCTGGAAGACACTCCCCTCTGCCTGGCTTCCCTGAGCAAGAAGCCATCAGCCATCAGCCCCTTCCTTAGAAGGCAATGGGCCGGCAGCCCTCTGGCTGTATTGAACACTCCACTGTCACTCCGAGGAAACTCTACTCCGCTGCAATGACCACTGCAGGACTGCTGCTGAAGCTACAACTTCTGCTTCAGGAGGCCTTGCTCTAATCACAGCAGCTCCAGGCAGCTGGCTTTTCTGGCATTAGAAACTACTCCAGGCAAGACAAGGCTCAGTGACTAGAGATGACCCTGCTCACTCTGCAGCTCTTCTCACTCAGGAAGGGAGAAGGGGAACTTCTCAGTAACTCAGCAAAAAGCCATGACTGGTGCAATGCCAGGCTTGTGATTGGCTAATAAATGAGGCTTATGACCGGTGCACACGTAAGGCTTGTGACTGAGAGAAATACAAGCCATGCATACGCACGGCTGCGATTGGTGGAAGTACAACCTGAGCACAATGGTGCCCCTCCCCTTTTCTAGCGATATAAGCAGGCTGTTTCTCAGTGTTTTCAGGTTAGTCCTGGAGGCTTCTCTCTGGTGCACTTCCCAACACTTTGCTAAGCCTCAGGCCCCAGCGGACGCTTCTTCCGAAGGGTCAACTCTTCGCAATTTTTATCCTGGGTAGAATAGGTTCAACTGGTAACATCCTCTTATCCTGCTATCTATCATCCATCCTGGGACTCCCTCTCTCCTGAACAAACCAGCCTGGTTGGTTGGTCATTCTGGCCCTCCATGCTGTCCCAAGCATCTCTGTGCCTGAACAGCCGCTCCTGACCTCTGACTCTATCCCCTGCCACCCTTCCTTCCTGCCTTGGGGTTCACTGGTACTTCATATTCATTGTCCTGGTGACTAGTTTTTGCTATTCTGTTTGTCTGGAACCCTCTGTCCTCAGAGATCCCAAGCTGACTCCCTCCCATTCTTCCCGTCTCAGCTCAGTGTCACCTCTTGTACTGTGGGGTTGGAATTGTATCCCCAAAATCTATGTTGAAGTCCTAACTTCCGTGACTTGTGGATATGACCTTATTTGGAAATGGGGTCTTTGTAGTTATAATCAGTTCGGTGAGGTGATACTTGATTGGGATGTGTGGAGGAAAGCCCCCTTAAGGAGGCATGGCACAAAGAAAACACCAAGAACCAGGCAAAATGAGAAAGGAAGGGTCAGCCCTGGATGTCGATAAGCAATTACATCCTAGACTGCTGACATTAACAGCATGGCTTGTCTTGCAGATCCACAGACCCTGGGGCTCACAGAAAAAACAGACCCAGGCTGACCATCCAAGGCTAACCTTCCCCCCTACTTGTGGAAGGAGCAGATGACATGTAACCCAGCCTATGAGAGTTAATGACACATAACGCAGTTTTCCAAGACTAACCACTCCCATCTCTGCAGATCCCAATAAAAGCTTGAGGTCTTGGGGACCTCCAGCTTAGTGCTCCCTCTTGAGCCTGCCTGCCCTCCCACCAGAGGGTGCACTTTTGCTTTGCTTTGCATAAATAAACCTGTCCCAACCCTCAGGATGGCAACACAGCAACACTCCCTCGTGCTCAATGCCTGCTACTTAGCTCAGCAGCCTCTTAAACTGCCGTTTCTCCTACTTGCTTGTCTTGGTAAATTCTTTGACCAACCCATGGCACCAAAATCCACAACAGAGTGGACCCAAATCCAATGCCTGGCATTCTTATCAAAAGACCACATGAAGGAAGACATGGAGAGTCAGAAGGAGGAAGGCCATGTAAAGATGGAGAGAGAGCAACAAAACAGGGAACACTGAGGATGGACAGCAACATCGAGGACAGACAGACAGCTGGGGTAGAAATCAGGAGCTTGGTCTCCATCAGAGCCTCAGGAAGGGCCAACTCTTGATCTGGACTTCTAGCCTCTAGAACTGTGGAAGTGCACACTTCTTGTGGTTTTCAACCACTCTGTTGGCAGCCCTTTGCAAAAGCAGTCACAGAAAACCAACACATCTCCTCATTGTGGTCTTTCCTGACCAGTGGGTATAAATCAGCCCCTGTCCTTCACTCCATATCTCCATCCTGACTTGTGTTCCTCACAGCACTTAGAGCTATTTGGAAGTACAGTTGTCCCTGTTTATCCATGGGGACATGCTCCAAGACACCCAGTGAATGCTTGAAGCCGTGGATAGTTTCAAATCTTATGCAGCCTACGTTTAATGCTACACATGCATGTCTATGGTAAAGCTTAATGGATAAATTAGGCACAGTAAGAGATTAACAGGCCAGGCATGGTGGCTTACACCTTTAATCCAGGCTAGAAGACAGACAGAGCTAGGAGGATGGCAGCTTGAGGTTTGCCCCAGGCAAAAAGCATTAGACCTTATCTGAAAAAATAAGTAAAGCAAAAAGGACTAGGGTATAGCTCAAACAGTAGGGCACCTGCCTAGCAAGCTTAAGGCCCTGAGTTCCAGTCCCAGTACCACAAAAAAGAGATTAATGACAATATATTATAATAAAATTTACTTAAAACTTATGAATTATTTCGGGACCTTTCTATGTAATATTTCTGATGACTGAAACTATGGACCTCCTAATGCAGCAGACACGATTTGTGCGTGCCAGGGCTCCTAATGCAGCAGTGTGAACTTGAACTCCAGGAGCCCAGGCAGTCCTGGGAAGGCCATGGCAGGAACATGTCCAATTCAGTCTCCCACCAGCACAAATTCTGTACTTCTATTTCGAATTTTACAATTCACATGCATTTTGCCCCCAATGCCAGTTTGTATTATATTTAAGTGTGAAAGATAACGTGTTTACTTTCTCTAAACTTTCTAGAAAAAGTTCATTCTAGGAGGGTCTGCTGTGTGTCTATCTGGTTCTAAATTCTCCAGGAGAACCTGGTCTGTCAGCCAGTCTTAGAGTCTTCCACCTTCTAGAATCCTCCAGGATTACCACTTGGCTCTAAATTCTTTATTATGAGCACACAGACAATCTAGCTCATGACCAGCAGTTCTCCTTTCTTTCTGACCAATTGCATCGCCTTAAATGCCCTCGCGTTCCCCTTGCTCCCCTCCCTGCTCTGAGAGGGTTTCTTGAAAATAACACAAAGTCCTTGAGTCTTGGCAGGCTCCAATAGGCAGTGTTCTTCTCTCTTTTTTCCTTTTCTTTCTATAATTCCCTCCTATTTTTCCTTTTCTTCCAGCTTCTTTTTAAATAGTTCTAGGAAAATAGTCCAAAAGACATTTGTTTTGAACCTATGGTGTGTAAAAGTGGCATTCATCTTTGAATGTATCTTATTTTTAGTTAAGGAAATTCAGGGAGCACTTGGTATGTGTGACAGTATCACCTTCCTTAAGTTAGCAAGACAAGTCAAAAAAGCAATGGAAAAGGGGCTGAGTGGATGAATAGAAAACTTTCAGAGAGTGCATCTCAGTGGCCTTGTTATGAAGGGCGTTCTAAGGTCACTGATCTCCTAAGCCTTTCTCCAGGGCAGGCGAGGGGGTCTGTATTTATGCCCGAGCAGGTCCCGGATCTGCCCCTATGAACTGAGAATTGAACTAGTAGCCAAGGCAATCACGACACGAATGC